AACTATCAATGGGCACCACAATGCCTGCTATAATTGTTAATGAACCAGAAATTCTTCTTCTAATTTTGTTTCACTTCATTATTGGGGCTTGACTTTGTTACCTTCATGGTTAAGTTCCATGACCTGGCATCTCCCTATCTTCCTGAACCTTTTTACTCCAGAGGAACCCTTGAAATAATTTTCAGGTCTCAAGGAACCCCTTCTAAAACCTTATTTTGGTGGACATTGGAAAGAATACCTGCCTTACAGCAGCAAAGGTCAGAATGCAACCTTTACAGAAAGCTAAAAAGATCAGTGGTGTAAGTAGTCAGTGTTTTTTGCCAAGTGGCATTGGCTCCAGAACTAGACAAGCACCATCAGGTTGAAGGGTAATCAGCCACAGATCAAGGAACCCCTTGCAACCTCTGTAGGAACCTTAGGGTTCAACAGAACTCTAGCTAAGAATGGCTGGTTGGTCTAGTGAGAGTGCCCCTGCTGGCCACTGAGGTCTTATTTTACAGAGAAATGGCAAAGGGCACTATATCAGAGGGGCACCGAAGAGGGCTTGGAAGCAAATAAAGGTAATTTATTGGATATGGTTCCTGCTGACTAGTAAATATAGATATATATGGCCCATATTTGGGTTAGCTAGATGTCCTGTGGATATCTGCCACTATTGATGCTTCTCTAGTAGGAAATGTTCACAGAATCTCTAGGTACATTGAACACAAAAGGGACTATCCTCCAGAGAGGAAAAAGAGATTTTTGCTTTTTTCCACACAGGCCCAGAAAAGTAAAAACGATTGATTTGATAAATTATACATTAACTGCAGGGAACCAGAAGAACAGCATCAGCATGCTATCGAAACAGCTTTTTATCTATGCTAAAAGTAACACTTCAGATGCATCTTTCATTTTATAGATGCAACCAAAGCCATTAGTCTGCCTGTGTGTGTATTTTACACCAAATTTTCTGTTGCACATAGATGTAGTATGTATGCAGACATCTTTTTCTTGAGTGTAGTGCCCTTTTAAACCGGTTATCTGGTCATCGTGGCTTTCATATCTCAAAACTACTGCAGTTTGCACATACTTTGAAAGAATACTAAATCTCATGTCCCTTTTTCTGCACTGAGAGCTTGTCAGGAGACAGCACTGCTGCTTTTATATTATGTGCCTATTTGTTGAAGGAACCTCAGAAAGCCTTCTCTGTGCAGTGCTGGCATGTGAAATTATTAATGTTACTTATAACTGTTTCTGCACTAGCATCTGTTTATTCAAGGCCATCTTGATTCAGTTGCTCTAGGCCTGACAACTGAAAATGTGTAATGTTTCATCATCATTACAGTAAAAAGTACAGTTGTGACCAAAATTATTCAACCCCCAATGCTGTAAAGGGGTTTAGGGACTATAGTGTACATTTGGAATTGTATTCAGAATCAAATCCTACAAGGACGTTGTAACTACCCAAATGCAACTAAAATGACATCAATTGTTTATGTAATACAGTAGTAAATGGTTCTTATGTGGTTTCTTCATTGCCACAATTATTCAACCCCTTAAAGACTACCACTCTGAAGAACAGAGGTTCATACAGGTGCTTTCCATCAGGTATTGAAAACACCTGTGGATGTCACCGAGCAGCAATCAAGCATAATAAGCACCAATTAGGCAGCTTTAAAATGACTGTGATACTCAGCTCCTTCTAGACATTTACTGGTGTGGTTACAAACATGGTGAAGGCAAGAGAATGGTCCAGGAAGACAAGAGAAGAGGTGATTTCTCTTCACAGGAAGGGCAATGGCTATAAGAAGATTGCAAAGATGTTAAACATACCAAGAGACACCTTAGGAAGCATCATTCGCAAATTCAAGGCAAAGGGCACTGTTGAAACGCTACCTGGTCGTGGGCAGAAAGAAGATGCTGACTTCGACTGCTGTGCGCTACCTGAAGCGTAGAGTGGAGAGAAGTCCCCGTGTGACTGCTGAGGAACTGAGAAAAGATTTGTCAGATGTGGGTACAGAAGTTTCAGCCCAGACAATAAGACGCACACTGCGTAATGAAGGCCTCCGTGCCAGAACTCCCAGGCGTACCCCCTTGCTGTCTCCAAAGAATAAGAAGAGTCGACTGCAGTATGCCAAAAGCCATGTGGACAAACCACAAAAGTTGTGGGATAGTGTTCTGTGGACTGATGAAACAAAATTAGAACTGTTTGGGCCCATGGATCAACGCTATGTTTGGAGGAGGAAGAACAAGGCCTATGATGAAAAGAAACACCTTGCCTACTGTGAAGCATGGTGGAGGGTCAATCATGCTTTGGGGCTGTTTTGCTTCTGCAGGTACAGGGAAGCTTCAGCGTGTGCAAGGTACCATGAATTCTCTTCAGTACCAGGAGATATTGGATGGAAACGTGATGCAGTCCGTCACACACCTGAGGCTTGGGAGACGTTGGACCTTTCAACAGGACAATGATCCCAAGCATACCTCCAAGTCCACTAGAGCATGGTTGCAGAGGAAAGGCTGGAACATTTTGGAGTGGCCATCGCAGTCACCAGACTTAAATCCGATTGAGAACCTCTGGTGGGACTTAAAGAAAGCAGTTGCAGTGCGCAAGCCTAAGAATGTGACTGAACTGGAGGCCTTTGCCCATGAAGAATGGGCGAAGATACCCGTAGATCGCTGCAAGACACTTGTGTCAAGCTATGCTTCACGTTTAAAAGCTGTTATATAACTGTAAAAGGATGCTGTACTAAGTACTAAGATTGAATGTCACTTGGGGGTTGAATAAAACTGATAATGCTGTGAGCACAGAAAAGACATTTGTGGTTATTTCATTATAACTGTTATGTTATATTTGTCTGACCTACAAGTGCCTCTTTAATGTAAATGTAAGCAAGATGACTGAATGATCAAAAGCAATGTCAAACTGGCCAAAACACTCAATTTCAGTGGGGGTTGAATAATTTTGGTCACAACTGTATTACATTTAGAGCAAATAGATGCCAAAATATTAACAGGATATTCACACAATAAAAGTTCTAATAAAAAATATTGCATTTATAAATTGTACAGGTAAAGTAAACATGCCTTACTGATCCCAGTCTATGGCATCATTGAAGTACGCCTTATAGGACAAGTCTTAAAATTCTTAATATTGCTGACCCCCAACAGATTTAAACCGAAAAGCAAACATTTATTATATTGCAGCTTACCAATTTTTAGATGTGATGGATACATTAGTTTATGGTTTTCGTTCCTCTATTTTCATCTGGTGATCCAGCCAGTAAGTCTGTTGTTTTTTCAAAAGCTCAAGCTCTCCATCAGAATGTATCAGTTTACATGGATGATACCAACCATTTAGCAGGGGTGGTTAAAATGATCAGCTTTTATTTATTAATAAAAACTTTATCCCAAAAAGGAACACTGTTTGCTATAGCTAATTATAAAATGTGACCTGGAGTTTGGCTTCAATTAGTTAGTGTGTCTAAATCTGCTAGTACATTTAAAGTGATTGTAAATCCTCACATTGTAAAAGTAATCCATTCATTTTAAAAAAGAAATGAAAGGCAAAAGATTTGCATATAGATATAAAACAGGGGAAAACGGTATTTGTAATTTTTTTTCTAAGTGATCACATAAGCTCTAAGCTCCTTATACACTTGAGAACAGAGCTGGGGGAGGAGAAACAGCAGCACACTGATCTTCTCAGTGAAAGACTGTGCAGGGGGGAGGGGGGTGTCAGGACAAGTCTGATCATTGGAGGAGAGCAGGCTGAGTTACCAACATAGCTACAGAACTGACCATGGTGTGATCTCCTGCTTAGTGTGGTCAGTTTTTAATAGGAAAGCAGAAAGACTAGCAGGAACGCCAGGGATTTCACACAAAGGAAGCAATACAAAGATAAAATAATACTTTTTTCATACAAGTACATGGTACAGCAAGCACATATCAGAATATGGGAACAAAGCGGATAGACGTTGCCTTGAAGTAGTACAGGAACCTTTTCTAAAGTCGGAGCAACTTCAGTAGTGCTAATTAAGATGGCTCTCATTGACTAACATGGGATTTCACATGTCATGCGACTTGGAGTCTCACAAGTCGGATCCCAAGTTGCGGCAGTGTGAACCGAGCCTAATCGCTCATATGTTCCTATAGCATATACAATAACTTACACATACAAATGAGTGTTTATGATAACAAAAGTTCTACTTTCGAAATAAAGTTTTCCAAACACATTATATTATAACAGTTACAATTTTTCCAGAGAACTGCATTCACAAATACAATTTTGTTTGTTCAGATAGGAATCAAGAACAAAAAAATCCATTATTCTCATTCATTTTTTCGACTAATTATGGTCAAAAATGATTTTTTATTTTCCTCCATTAATGCTTAAAAAATTCAATACACATTGAAAAAAATGAAAATTTTTGAACTCCATTCTATTGGGGTATGGCCAGCTTTAGAAACAAGAATCTGGCAGCATCACTAGTTAGAGGTACATGAGTCATAGATCTACATCCCACTTATCAGCTCCCATAAGGGGGCTGCTGTCCATTACCTAGACCCCACATGCATCGCCATTCATATTCTGTGACAGACACCTTGTGTGTGACAGAAAACCCATTTCCAGCATAGTGGGTGTCTTGCACACTGGGGCTCTTCTAAATGCTTTTCACATGGCAGGAGAAAAGCAACTGCAAAAAATGCTTCTAAGCCGCATTTTTTCAAATGTGTTTAGGCACATCAAGCACTTGGGCGTTTATATATTTCATTCAATATTATTATATTCTGGTCATTCAAATGAAACAAAAAAAAGTGCTAAAAGCGCTTGGCGTTAACACACATTTAGATGCGTTTACCTGCACATCACACTTTTTTTTCTGCCAAAATTCTACTTGAATGTACAAGTGATGGGTATTTTCTGCCTCTAAACTCCTGTAAACGCCTACAGTGTGCATGGACACATAGAAGTTGATTTACTAAAGGTAAATTGACTGTGCACTTTGCAAGTGCAGTTGCACTCATTTTACTTAGTAATTATAAATGCAGTGAAGCTTCACTTTGCAAAGAATACCCAATCAGGTACAAGGAAAATCAGTAGGGCTATACCACATTTACGAAGGAAAATGAGTGCAACTGCACATGCAAAGTGCACAGTCTTTGCCCTTAGTAAAATCAACCCCATAGCAGGGGCGGACTGACCATTTGGAAACTCGGGCACTGCCCGAGGGCCCGGGGTAAGTAGGGGGCACCCTGAGATGCCCCTGGTACCTTTTTCATAGGCGTTTTTGAGTTTGGGCAAGGACACAGGGGTCCCATGATCCCCTATTGCCCGGGGGCCCCATGAGTTGTCAGTCTGCCTCTGCCCCATAGATTAATATGAAGGGCAGTTTTAGAGGCAAGGGCGTATTTACCACAAAGCATTTTCCTAGGGTGGCATTTTTCAGGGTGGGCAGCCCCCCCAGAAGAAGGGACATATGCAGCATGGGGACCAGGTGGGATCTGAAAGAGGCTGCAGACTGCTTGATGGCGTATGCAGAGCCCGACTCTTGTTCCCGGGATGTCCAGAGTTGTGAAGGTGAGTCTTTCTCTCTCTCTGGGGGGAAGGATTGTATGTTAGTGGAAGGTTCTCTCGGGTGGGGTGGGGGGGCAGGGGTGTTGTTTTTTTTCAATGTCAGGCTCTCTCCACGGGGGGTTTAGGGGGCGTTGTTGGTCTCTGTCAGGCTCTCTCCCCCGGATTTTTTTGTTGCCTAGGGCAGCACAAAATCAAAATACAACACTGTTTAGAGGCAGACCAAAAAAAAAAAACTTCAACGCCTGTAAAAGCTGTATTTTTTTTAACTCAAGTGGGCACAAGGCTATTCTCTAACAAAAATTGATCATATTTGATTTTCTGCAAACAATATATTGTGTATTACAGTGAGTGAAGTGTATGAGAGGTAGAAAGGGGTTGCTGTTCCTAGCATGCAATCAGGTTATTGTTGTTGTTTTTCTAACCTGCTCTTTATAGCCTATATTGAAAACTGATTGAATGTGTGGACTACAGCTACGATTTCTTTCACCACTGTGAACTGATGACTGTTCTTAAATTTTGTGAGTTCTATATAATTTGGAAGTTGGCCTTATTTGTTATTACAGTGGTTCCCGCAAATGTATGTGTTCTCAGATTTGTGTATCACAGAGTACTGGGATGCTAAACTGCTGGAGAATTTTAATTTATGGATCTCATGAGCTGTGGGACAACTAGCCTGTCACAATTTAATAGATTTTTGGTTTTTTTTAGATAAAATGTTTTATATTTAAAAAAAAGAATTTGTTTGAATCCTCCATAGTATTCTTATTATATAAGATTTATTTACAAAAGCTTGTTACGGGCAACCCCAATGTATTTCTGTGTGAGATTTGCTGTTTTAGGGTGGGTCACTGGAATGAACTGGAAAAAAAGACAGTTATTTGTTGAAACATACAGTAGTTCATTCATTAACAGTTTAAAAGTTGCCAATTTAAACATCGTCAGGATATCTCAAAAATGGGTTCCAACTACCATTCCAATGTTTCCTCCTTTGATAATTTTGTGTTTTGATGTTGGTATTTTTTCCAGCCCTCTCAGCTTATTTCATCATGAATGGTCTCATATTTTTTGTATAATATTAGTAATTTGCTGCTCATGCAGTCAAGTATAAAGAAAACGAATAATAATTACAGAAGCACAAAAAAGGCTGAAGAGAAGAGTGAATTTTCCGTTTGAATTACAGCTAAAACAAACAGAGCTAAATATTATGTTTGTTTTAAAACCAGAATTAATTCCCTCGCCTAAATATTTGCATGGCCTGGAGGCTGCATCTGCAGACTATAGAGATTTAGTTATCTACACTAAATTTTTGCATGTTGCTTGTATGCATTGTGTAGAGATTGTCTTGCCCATGATTGAATGCTTAAGCGTAACTAGAACCTTCAGGGCCCCCGTGCAAGAAACCTTGAAGGACCTCCTGGCCTGGGCCCTTTTTTCCATGCCCCGGTCTGTTCCCACTGATTCTGGGGCCCTTAACACCTATCACAGGGCCCTTTATTTCGGTCCTGCAGTGGGACTCTTTCATGTGTTCTGCAGCATGCCCCTTTCCTGCTGTCTTGGGCCCCCCTCATGATAGTAGAACGCCAGGGCCCTTTCGCGAGTACAACCTTTGCAACCCTTGTAGTTCCGCCACTGGTGTCAGTAGTTTTTTATTTTTCTAATTTTTTAAATTATTTTTTTACTTTTTTTTACAATTTTATATTATTTTTTACAATTTTTTAGGAGCCCCATTGGGGGGCTTTGGTAAGATATTAGGGGTCTGAACAAACCTTTGCAACAGAGAAAGGAGATTGAGGACACTGCCCTCAATCTTCATCTCTGCAGCCTCAGCAGCACAGTCAGTGATCAGTACAATCATTGACACTGTCCATTCAGAAAAGGACAGGACACTCTCCGTGCTGAAAGCATTCCCTGCAGCAGCCAGTGGTAGAGGGGAGGGTGGAACCCAGCAGAGCCGCAGGGGCAGAAGTGGGGCCAGGAAAATGTACAAGGGCCCTGGGGCAGCAGGACCTAGATAGGAGGGGTGGTGGGCGTGGTATATAAAGGAACTAATTCTCTCTATTTCTCTTCTGCAGCCACTTAAATGGCTGCAGGAGGAAAATGGAGGGCATTGGTTTCTCTATATATGCTGCTCCCAATGCCCCTCCTTACCAACCCCTGCAACCCCTGTAGTTATGTCTCTGATCAGATGCTTCTTTCTTTAGTTTATCAGGTCCACAGTTTTTTGGGCAGTCAAAAACTCACTTTAGGGTTCATGCAGCTACTTGTGTAAACCCTAAGACCATACAACCCTGTGCATCCAGGGGGCATACGGCTTTATGCTTGCTTTTGTTTACACAAGTACCAGTGTATACTCACATACAGCAGTTCATTACTATGGGCAGCTATATTCGCAGCTGTGTCTCCCGGGCAGTTTACATTGTGTGGTTCCATGAGCCCTTGTTCATTTAAATATATTTCCCTTCATGTACTGTAGCTAAATAGATGGACCAGCATTAAATTTGATGACATAGAATATTTACAATTAAACTACCAACAGACATTTTCAGGAAACCATATTAGTATATTTGTAAACCATTTGCATAGCAATTGACCCTGTAAAAGTGCCTATGCATTTTTTTGGAGCCTAAAAAAATGCCTAATTTTTGGCCATTTCCTGTGCTGGATGAATGTTTCTTGTTGATTTAAAATGGAAATTACAACATTTGCCCACTAGGTGGAGCGAAGTGTTATAGAAAATTCCTATGATACTATTTGCCATCTAGAGGCCAAAAAATGTATTTTCCATTTTAAATCAATGAAAGCATTTGTCCAGTACAGGAAATAGCTTAATGACATTTTTTTTTGCTCTGTTCACATACGATACATTTACATGCCATTTCACTGCTATGCATTTTTTTTTTTTAAATACACCTCCTAATGTTGATACATCAGCTATATTCATGAAACACTTCTTTTTAAACAGATCTCATCTTTCACGGTCAAAAATAAGAACTGGCAAGTGATGCATTTGTTGACTTCTCACATTGCACCTACTAATCCAAATCTAGCAAACATGTTAGATTTATTATTCAGTGTATTGGAAATAAATATATTTTTCTCTGATCCCTGGACTGTTTCTAATGCATTATGTGAAACCATAGATATAGTACAGTACTGGAGAAAGCAAAATCTTGAAACCTATTCTAGGCAGTTGACATATAGAAGCTTGTGTGGATTGTCATTTATTTCTGCATGGAAAAAATAAACAAAATGGTTGCCAAAGATTTGGCGATTCTGGGCCACAGCAATGTTTATGATGAAGCAGTCTGTGCGATTTGTGATTATGGAGCCATGAAATAATTTGTGGCTCAATATTGTCACCTCTTCATGAATTTATTGACAGTGGTGGTGTGGTTGATTTTATAAGCCCTAGCTTACTCTTTTGGTCGGTGGGTGGTAAAAAATAGGTAGTTGAGCTGTGTTTTTGCTACCCCTGACTGCCCCTCTTGAGCTGCAAATGCAGGCAGACTGGGTTGTACATATGCCACGAATGGATGATGATGGATTGTAAAAATGGTACTGTCACATTTGACAGGCAGTACCACAGCTGAATGTGACACATTCAAATGAATGGGGCTGCGCTACAAATGTGCGCCAAAATGCTAGGCTCAAGGTTGTACCATGGTATTCCCATTCAAAATGCTTGTTTAAATATAAAAAAAAATTAAAAAAACAGACGATCAGGAGGCAGCAGCATTGCCTCCTGAATGCCTGTCAGGCACTCCTGTGCTTCTCTATGGAGAGCAATCCACCATGGACGCAGATGTAAAGGAGCCCTTCAGGGGTAAATGATGTTCATTTTGCCAAGGGAATTTTCACTTAGTTTAGCTAACAAGGTGAAGCTGTGTTTACTTTGCATAACTCCGTAATGTGCAAGGGAATTTCTAAATCAGGATTTTCGCTTTATTTACTAATAAAATATAAACCCTCTTAGTGTCAGTGAATCTTCTCAATTCCTCATTCCTTCAATGTAATAATCCAAGTGTATTGTCGACTTCCATCATATAACTCCAAAATATATATATAAAAAACTAGATAGTGTATTATCCTCAATATTCAAATGATCACAATATGAGGAAGTCAGAATATATTCTATTTTATTTTTTGGACTTTCAAGGGTGAAAGTGTGACTTTTTGAGTGTCAAGTTCAGGGTTATTGGTTATTTATTTTATTTGGACACCGGTTTTTGATTTTGTACTTTATTTACTAAGCTTAGTGAACATATACTTTGCAAAGGGAACATATGATTTACTAAAGCCAGCCATAGATGGACTGAATCTTGGTCACTTCAGCAGAGACCAGCCGAGATTCGATCCATCTATTGACAGACTTCAGACTTCGGTCGGCTTCAGTACAACCAGCCTGTCTGATTTTTTTCTTTTTCTTTTTTGACGTTCTTTATTTATAAATATTTCAAGGGTTGGGAAAGAATGTATAAAGGTCGATACAGTAATACAAATAGCTGTCAACATCATTTAAATGACATCTCCATTGAGGGTATCAGCCATAAGAAGAATTCGTACTCACACGCAGCAACCGCATAGAACTTAAAGTGTTACTAAACCCAGGACCCTGCATCCACTATATCTGGTCCCCCACAGTACACACAACATGGAAATGCA